TAAATATGCAATATACCCAAAATAATTAATTCAATACGAGCAGGTAGTAAATTCTAAATATAGACATATTTTTAAATAAATAGAGAGGCAGATGTTGACTATTTCCGAACGCCTTCGAACAATTACAATGAAGCATTCAAATGGACATTACTTCTTTCCGTAACTGTACCTCATTTAATTAAATTAATAAGAAATCACTATGTTGACAGCGGCTTTATACTAAATGGAAAAGAAATTAGCAAAACCACTATTGAGAAGGTTTTGGAATTAACAAGTAAATCTGATTTAAACATTGCCCACAAAATTTCTCTTGAGACTTTGAACGTCAAAAATGCTGCAAGACAAAAAGTTAAGTTCGCTACAAAACTCTTTTCCCATACTATTTTTCGAGCCATAACAAGATTGGGAACAAATGGTAAATTGGTGGGCGAAAATTGGATTGAAACTGCTGAATTTTTTAAACAAGTAGGTAGACTGATATGTAATTAATCAATTATATCAAAATTGTTCATATTTAGGTAAATGATTGGTTTGACTATCTTAATGTAAGGGTTCCAGAAGTAGATAGCCGCGACAGAATGAAGGCTTTTGGATTAGCCATTGATACTCAGGTGGATATAATTGACAAAATGACGGATTTAATGAAAAATATGAGAATAAAGGGTAAATCTACACTACTTCCTTTTCAAAATGGTAAAAATCCCTAAATGTTCATATATTTTAAAATATATGTTTTATTCTAGGAATCCTTATTACAAATTCATCTTTAAAATTACTGTTTAAAGATCTTCAGGAGCGCTTTGACACAAAATATATATTGACATACAGGCTCGATCAAGACGTGCTAGAAAATTTTTTTGGTGTCATCAGATCCAAGGATGGTCTTCATGACCATCCTGATCAACTTGAATTAAAATACCGTCTTCGCTCTTACATTCTAGTCCAAAATGAAGGCGTACTTTCTGCATACAGTAATGTTACAGAAGATAATACTCCTGATTCAGCTTGTTATTTTGACAACATAGTTGATGCAACAAATAAAATGCCCTTTACTTGCTTTAAATAAGCTACTGTGCTGAAAAAGTTTTGTGATGTTGCTCATTTTATTGCGACAAAATAAACTAATGAAAAAAGCAAAAAAATGATAAATATTAAAAAAACATGATGGATAATAAGTTTCGCTTTTATATTTCTACTTTGCAAAAAATTGGATAAAAGGAAGCATCCCACTGAGCAAAGAACGTTTAAGTAACGTTTAGTAACGTTCACACAGTGTATCATTTTAAACGTTTGTCAATGTCGTTTCAATAGCGTGCAATAGTTTGTAAAAAAATGCAAATCTCGATACGACCTTTGACAGTTTAATTAACGATTAAATTAAATAAAAAGCGTTGTATTGTTGTAAATTAAATAAAAAGCGTTGTATTGCCGTACATTTGTAAACATTATATAAACGTTTGTTATTTTATTAGCGTGCAATAAACGTTTGTGAAAAAATGAAAATACGACCTATGACAGTTTATTTAACGATTAAATTTTGACATTATTAAAAAGCGTTGGTTTGCCGTACATTTGTAAAATTTTTATAAATGTTTAAAAAGATGTGCTGAGGTAACGTTCTGTTAAGAGTGTTAATAGTTTGTGGTTCATTTATGGTTAATTTTATGTTATTATGTGATACTTATGTTACGTTCAATACTTAACGTTGATAGATAAAATGTTAACGTTCACTGATTTTTATAAATGTAATAAAACTTTATAGGTTGGTTTTATATAAAACCATAAAATTCGTTGTATCGTTCATTTATTGGAGTCACAGTGTTGCCAAGGGTACGATTATCGCAAGGATTTTAAAATCCTTGCGATTATCATAAACATAAACAATAATTTCGAATGTATTATTATATATTTTATTCTACGTACACATTTTAATATTGTTGGTAATGTTCCATTGAAGAAAATTAAATTTAACAGTAATATAAGATAAAATAATAATTTAATGTGAAACGCCATTTATTTCAATTTGACGTAAGAGTGCGGTGTTGCCATTTAAAATCCCATTCGTTTCATTTGGCGTCAAATACATTCGGTGTAATTTTAATTCGGTTTGAAAAATTTTAGTCTCTCGAGGTGTTCCTGATTATTTTTATATTTTTTCTGTACAGTAAGTAATATATTTTTCGATAGGTTTTTAAAACTTGGCAACTCTGTGTAGCATGAGTGTTGCATTTACAATCTACGACGCACAATGTGCAATCAGTGTTGCCAGATGTACGATATTTATCGTATTTGTACAATAAATCTCCCATAAGTACGATGTACGATACCATGTGTACGATAATGCTAAAATATACGATAATTCACACATTATGCTGACGTTTGCGCTAATTTTAAGAAAGCACTTATTTTAATGTTGATTTGAGTTTAGTTTCACAAATACCGAATTTAATTTTGAAAACAATGTAAGTAGGTAGTCGTTTGACTTGTTTGAGCTTTTAACAGGAATAATCGAGGCTCTGTAATTCCCCGAATTGGACTACTATGAAGCTAGCGTGATAGTGAGAGGGTAATAATGATGTGTGTGCGTTTGCGATAGCGGGCGGTGAACGATACACTTTTGTCAATTTCACAACTTCACTCTTGAACTATTAAGTTGTTCTGGCGCTTTAAAGTTTAAACCTGTTGGTGATATGTCGAGTTCCGAGGGCGAAACACCGCGGTGTTCAACACCTGAATACAAAAAATTAAAAAGGGGTGACAGCACCACAAAACAAAAACACCGAACTCAAAATTATCGTCAAGGGTGGGAGGCCGACGTACAGTTTAAAGGGTGGTTAACAGGAGCAAAAGGTGAGCAAAACTTTGTGTGTCTGTGTGCGATTTTTTCACCCAGAACTTGGTAAAGTTACAACGTTATTCTGGAAACTCATACAAATATTTTCTGCAAACGAAGGTGCCACGGCTAAAAGGCTGTACAATGAAATTCGAGCAGCATTAACTTTGAACGAAATTCCCCTGCAAAACGTTATTGGTTTCGCATCTGACGGCTGCAACGTGATGTTCTGAAGAACTAACTCTGTTGCCAGCAAATTGATGGCTGCTAACCCAGGTATTATGGTGCAAAAATGCATTTGCCATTCCCTACATCTTTGTGCAAGCGTGTAAATGCCTACCAAGGTTGTGTGAAGATTTGCCGCAAAAATAGCGCTAAACGTCAAGCTATGCTTAAAGAATTCCAAAAGTTTTGTGATGTGAACCCACACAAATTACTAAGGCCTGCCCAGACAAGATGTTTGTCTTTATTGTCCGTCGTCAGAAGAATATTGGAGCAGTGGGAACACATCAAACTACGTGGAACATCGGCTAAACGCTTCCGAAAGAAATATATCATGCCTTAAATAATCCTCAAATTAAACTTTTCTACCTGTATTTGGATTGGGTTTTGCCAAAATTTGTCGACTTAAATAAATATTTCTAAAGTGAAAGAGTGGTAATATGTAACTTAAATGAAAAAATGGTTAAAACTTACCGAGAATTGTTGCTTTCTTACATGCAGCCTAATTATGTAAGGCAAACGGACATGGATAACATTGATCCCACAAATAATGGGAAATTTATTCCGGACACGAGCATGTACCTTGGAATTGGTGTAATGCAAAACATTCAATTCATATCTGAGGCTTCAATGAAGCAGGCGTTTCTTAATTACTTCGTGCCTCGAAATTAAAAAAAGTTACAACTTTAACAATCCTGTATTCAGTCAAATGCGTGTATTGACCAAGACCAATATTAAAAGTACTGAATCACTGTTTCCATTAATGTCTAGCGTTCCTCTTATTTGTAATCTGAACAACGTGGAACAGTTACAAAAGATAGACGATCAGTGGAGAAGTTTAAAATCTTTCGAAAATTTGCCAGAGACTGATGAAATCGACAAATTTTATTTTGCATTAAGCAAAATAACTGGATTTGCCTGAGAACTGCTGTTTCCCGACTTAAGTCGGTTTGCAATGAACATACTATCGCTACCACATTCAAGTGCTAGTTGCGAATGTATCAGAATATAAAAAGACAAAGAGCAGCAGTGTCACCAGAAATCCTGAATCTATATTTTGATAATTTAACTGAGACGCTTAAAGATGTGCCACCATCAAACATCGTTAATTACGACGAGACGAATCTTGCCGATGACCCTGGAGGAGAAAAGGTCATTGTACAGAGGGGATCCCGATATCCAGAACGAGTCTGCAACTCCTCTAAAAGCAGCACATCGATTATGTTTGCGGTGACTGGGGATGGAGATGTACTACCGCCCTATGTAGTGTATAGAGCTGAACACCTCTACGAATCATGGACAACTGGTGGGGTTAAAGGCGCCCGATACAATCGCAGCAAGAGTGGTTGGTTCGATGCAGCTTCTTTTGGTGATTGGGTGAGAAACATTGCAATACCAAAATTAAAAAAGTTGCCTGGAAAAAAATCCTAATTGGAGATAATCTGTCTAGTCACTTTTCTCCAGACATTGTAGAGGAGTGCCTACAGTATAACATTTTTTTTGTTTTCCTGCCAGCAAACTCCACACATCTTTGCCAGCCTCTGGACGTAGCCTTTTTTCGGTCATTAAAGGCTGCTTGAAGAAAAATCTTGGATGAATGGAAAATGACGGGAGAGGGCAGAAAGTCAGCTACAATTCCCAAGGACCGATTCCCCTTTTTCTTAAAAAAAATATTGATTGAGCTGCAAAAAATCAAAAAACAAATATTTAGTCAGGATTCAGGAAATCTGGAATAATTCCTCTAGACCGATGGCAAGTGCTTAACGTTCTGCCAAGAGAAGATAATAATAATGAACATGAAGTTGCTCATGCAAATGTAGATAATGCTGTCATAAATCTGCTTAAATCACTCAGATATGGTGATACAGCACTGCCGAGACAAAAAAGAAAGAAAATTCAAGTTCAAGCCTGCCAAAGTGTTATGGGACAACATACAAATGACGAGGATGAGGATGAAAACTCGAATGAAGACATCGAAAATAATGATACTGTAGAGGCAGAAGTCACTGACGAGTCGGAAGACTCTGATGAGGACATGAATGACCCTCTTGCTAAAGTATGCCCAGGAACCAGCTTCGTTAAAGCAAGCTGGCACATCCAAAAGAGAAGTTTTAAGATTTGCAATTACGCAAAATGATCTTAACTAAGTTACGTAGTTTCTAGTTTTCGAAAGAGTTCCTTCTCCGTCCAAAAATTTAGTTTTTTTTTTAGTTTTTAAAAATTTTTTCTCTAAGAAGTTTTGTGTTCATTTTTTAGATATTTAAGAATTTATTTGTGTATTTTTGATAAAAGTTTATAAAAAATAAAAAATTTGTGATATTTAGTGGTTTTCATTTACCAAAAATGCTTAAAAATGAGAAAAAATACTTTTAAAAAAATTAAAAACTGTTTCTATTCACCTTTGGAGTGGTATAAAAGCCGATAACGTAAAAAAAGATGGCTGTTCCTTTTCACCCCGACTGCCAGGTTTATATACAAAAAAGTTTATATACAAAAGTGCTCTTTTAGTTCCACCCTTACTTCTTAAGAAGTCCCATAAGCCAACTGAATGGCTTGTGACGGTTAGGGGTAGGAACGGACCGCGGGCTTAAAGTCCCCTCCGAAGGACTATTACACAATAGGACAAACACAAATAAACAGCCATACCCCTGGTGGGATTCGAACCCACGACATCCGGCTTGTAGTCAGCAGCACTAACCACTCGTCCACCGTCCGCGGATAGAAACAAGTAATATTTTTAGAAAAATAAGGTACTAGGAGCGACACGACTTTTAACATTTTTACTTTATTTTTAAAGAGCCTCGTTTTTGAGATGCAAGCACTGAAAGGTCAAAAAGCGTTTCTATTCACCCCAAATTACGGTACTCCTCAGCTTCTAGAATACTTAATAAAAATTTCGACCACCTGAATTTTAACTTAAAATTAATTTTAAAAATCTGGGCCACCTCAAGGTGTTTAGTAAAAATTTTTACTTTTTTTTTCAAAATTGTTTTTTTTAATTTAAACTACAAATTCCACCCTTGGGCTAATAAAAAACGCTCCACCCTAATGAATACGCCTTTATTTCTAAAAATAATGCAATTTTTGTATTTTTAGTATTATAAATTAAGTCTACACACAAAAAAAAATATATTGCATTATTTTCAGATAATAAAATGAAATTAGCTGAATGATAAAAAAATCCAAATTATTTGTAACAAATGTCAATGTGGGCGTTTTTGGTGTCAATAATACATATTATGTACTACATATGGCTTTAATTTTATTTTATCTTGATTGGTTTAGGTAGTCCATCTAAAAAAAATAGAATAAAAGTAGTCAATCTAAAAAATAGTAGTCCATCTAAAAAAATTAAATAAAACTTTCTTTATAAAAAAATATTCTATAGAATAATTGAAAATACATAAATTTTAAAAAATAACGAAAATTATAAAACTGTTAGTTTGTTTATTACGACTTTCGTTTAGTACGACGTATTATTATCGGTCCCTTGACCGTCGTTTTAACCGGATTCTACTATACTTAAAATTGCAGAATAAATTTTTGAGATGGGTTACTTAACTTTAAAACTAATACTAATAAGTGAGCAAATTATAATTATATGTTATTAATATTCTTCATGATGGCGAATTTAGGGTTTTCATAAAGTTATAACTATATATACGCGTATGGGCGATTTTAGAAAACTTAATTATGTTTAAATAATAAATAGAATGGACTTGTTAAAATTTTAATATTAAGTAATATTATATTGTAGAGCATTACTCGTAAACGTAAAGTAGGACCGTATAGCAAACGCAATTTAAGAAGATTAATAAAGAATGAAAAATTAAAAATAATTAAACAAAAACGAAAGGAAACTATTGAGCTGTCTGGGAGTATTACAAATTTGGTTGATGTAACAATTTCAGAGATAGAAAATCCCAATATTGACAAAATTTTACCAAATGTGCAAAGAATACCTGAAGTCCCTCAATCGATAAGTAAAATTAATAGAGAATTAATTCAATTTAACGTTAATAAAAATGAAGAATTAACAAGTTTACTCCCCAAATGGGTTGTAAATTATAATATTTCACAATCTGCTTGCAATTCTTTGTTGGAAATTTTAAATAAAAATGGATTTAAAGTTCCTAAAGATAGCAGGACTTTAGTTAGAAATTCTATTCCAAAAAATGTTTTTATTGACATTGCCCCTGGAAATTATTATCATTTTGGGTTAGAATCTGGAATAAATTTAATTTTAAATAATTCGAACGCAATAAAAATTGAACTTAATTGTGATGGGTGTACTAAGTGTATTACAGAAGGTTCGTTTATAAAGAATAGGATGATATATGCAGACTTAAAGGCTAGTCTTCGAACCCATGACCATTTTTTAAATGGAACATATGACGATTATCAAAAAGTCGTTTCACCGGTTCTGAAATTAAGGCTAAAAGATATTGTATGACAGGTACCCCTGAACTATATGCACTTGGTTTGCCTAGGGGTAACCAGACGATTAATTTCTTTTTGGGTGAAAGGAAACAGATCTGTTAGGTTATTAGATGACGATATAATAAATATTAATTCAGATATAAACGACTCAAGGAGTAATATACCTATGAAATTTTCTTGATTTCCTAGAAATATAAAAGAGATCGACCGTTGGAAAGCCACGTACTTAAGATTATTTATTTTGTACATTGGTCCCTTTATTTTAAAAGATAGATTAAAGCAGACACTTTATAAACACTTTTTAACCTTCCTCGTCGCAATACGAATTTTAAGTGCTCCTTCACTCTGCCAAGTTCGCAATAGTTACGCTAGAAAGCTTTTAGAATATTTTATAAACAATTTCGGAGATCTTTATGGGCATGAATTTATTAACCATAATGTGCATAATTTGATTCATTTACCTCAAGAAGTTTTAAATCATGGAACTTTAGACAATTTTAGTTGTTTTAAATTTGAAAATTATATGCATTGTATAAGGTTAAAGACCAAAACCAGTCGTAGACCATTGGAACAAATTGTAAACAGATTGAATGAAATGCGGACTTTTAGGACAAAAGTAAACAACAATGAAGATTTGTTAACATTTAAAGATAATGGATACAAGAATATTAACGGTATTCTTTATCAATCCTACGAAAAAGTTAAGGTAAAATCTCTTACTTTTGAGACATCGGCAAGGAATGGATTTGTTCTATTAAATGATAATTCATTTGCCCTTATATCAGACATATTATTAGATAATACGAATAATATATTTTTTCATTGTATCATACATGAATATTTAGCGAGTCCCTAGGGCCCTATGTAACTCCATGCGATTCTAAAATATTTAATATATCTACAGTTAGAAATACAAACATTTCTAAAATTATATCCATTCATGATGTCGCTAATAAATGTGTACTACTTAGTAAAAATATGATTGCCATTCCTCTCATTAATAATCATTATTAGACGGTTTTTCAATTTGGATGTTATTTTAAAGGTAATATTAGTTTTTTTTATAAACTAATCTAAAAAAGTTAAGCATATTACGTTATTTTAGAATTAAATTATTATGTACTAAAAAATGTTTAGATAAAAATTACTTAATCTTAAAATAACCTAATATTCTTAACTTTTGTCGATTAGTTTATATATATATTTCTGTGGTATATATTTTTAAATTCAAATTTGGCGCTATTTTAACCAAGGAAAATTTAAATAATTTACTAAAAATATTAGTATAGTTTTAAGTTATTTTATGTCAAACCTATTAGTTTATTTATAATTTTGAATATCATGATTTTTTGTCTATGTCGTGTATCATAGAGGTCTCGTTAATGAAACGAAATATCGATACGTACTAAAAAACCCTGTATCGATATACTTCTACGTATCGTTATTTCTACCAATTTTTGCATAAGAAACCGATGTTTGTTTTGTTATTTAACGATTTTGTTTAAAGTAAAAACAAACTCGTTTAAATACATTTTTTCGCACTCACCTCTAGACACAACTTTGGAGCCATCTATGAAGATTGATTTTAAGTAAAATTTTCTAGTCGGTTTAGTAGATTTTAGTGGACTTGAATAAACCGTTAAAACTCAATGCAACCTCATAATAACAACAAAAATGTAAGTTTTTTAATGTTCTTTTAATAGTAATAGTATTAAGTGTTTATTGACATAATATGTTATATGTACACCATTTAAAATAGTGTTTCTAATATGACATTATGATTTTTCAGGGCTTTTCGAAGAAAACGAAGCATATTTTGGACGTATTTTGATGAAATAGATAAAACTGTAGCTCTTTGTCAGGTAATATGTATTTATTTTACTTTTGTAAACACCTTTATGGTTAACGGTTTAGACTAAACATAACACTAAACCATTTAATGCCTGTTTCACATAGGCTGTATGCATAAATTATCAATTTTTACTGTTTTTAGATAAGTATGCAAGGACCGTGTTAATTATTCTTCTACTCCTTCAAATCTTAAATTCCATTTAAAACGACATCATGAAGAAAAGTACAATGCATTAGTAGAAGACGAAAACAAGACTAAACAAATGAAAATGACTGACTTTGTTGAGACTGATTCAAATAGTTTTATTGGAGCAAAGTATCCTTCTAACAGTGCCATTTCAAAAAAAATTACAAACTCGATTGTTTATATGTTGGTTAATGATTTAAGACCACTAAGTTTTGTGCAGTAGAAAGGTTTTAGGGTCCATGAAAAAACAATTAACCCTGTTAAATCACAGATTTAACAGAAAAATTATTCAATAAAATCTAGTTTTTAATTTTATTTAAAAAATTAAATACTATAGTTTATTGCAATAATTGGCGAATTGCTTAGGAAATGCAATGTTTGCATCTAGCGACAGGTGATCGAACGCCAGAGTGTCTAAAACAATATCAACATATTTAATATTAATCGTTTTTATATTCACATGTAATTAATTAACATTTTTTGTACCACTGTTTTTATTCCTAAACACGTCACAATTTAAAAATATATATAAATCAATAGTTTAAATAATAAATCAGTTCCAAAACGAATTCCATTTGGTTTTATTTGGTAACTCATCATTATTCATTAAGAACTGGGAAGTGAGCAAGATCAAGGATCAGCCTTGTACTCGCCCAGTG